AATCTTATATTTTTAATGATTTGAAAAAAAAAAATGTTGGTATTAAGGTTGTAGCTAGATTTTGATTATAATCAAAAAAGATAAGTTTTAATGAAAAATTTGTTTTTATGAAGCGTTAATTAATATTTTAAAGAATACAAATTTATACGATTTATTGATTAATTTATATTATTGTAACTAACTCATTTATTTGTTTTTTAGGGATTTTAATGGGAATATGAAGAATAAGTCAAGCACAAAAATTATTCTTTAGTTATGTATCAGTAACATTCAATAAAATTGCCAAAAAAAATATTTATCTATGATAGGATACTAAAAATAAGAAAAAATATTGTTATTCGTTTAAATTTTTTTAGGCAGCATTTAGACAAAAACATTAACAAAGTTTATATCCGTTATTTTTTTTATTAAAGTTTAGATTAAAATCATTATCTTTAGGTAAATTACGTAAAAAATAAAATTTATCTTAAATTAACAGTCAGTTGTAATTTGCCCATTGTCATTTCATATTRTTAAATAATTATATATATTAAAGAAAGTAATTAATGATCTGTCCCCACTTTAGTCATCAATACTTGAATCTTCATCATCTGAAATATTTTTTGTAGCGGATAAAAATGTTTTAATAATTTTACATTTTGTATGATTGCAATCACATGGGTTTGGATGTGTCTCATTTTGAGAGTCTAGCATTTCAAGATTAATACTGTAATGTCTTGAATTGGGACTGTTGCGTTGGAATTCTACATTGAACATTACAGCGTCACCTTCTTCTACTTCCATTTGTGTTGGCAATACTATGGTGGTCTGTTTCCAATGTGTTATCGGCGACGAAGGTGAAGTGCTCAGAGTGGTATCAGTAATTGGGAACTGTACATCAAACCAAAAACAAACTCCTTGATAAATTCCACTCTTTTCAACAATAGTTATATACCGTTGGGCAGTGATTTTATCAAGCTGWTGTGGTTGACAGTCCTTAAGATTAAATTTTACAATGGGATTGACATCATGAGCGAGCATATTCTCAACTTGTATGTTCATGATTTTTGGTTTATTTAAGTATAATCTCCGCAAGGCTTTTGCGAATGATCTCATTTTAATCCCACAGACATTATCCCACTCCGAATAGAGATCTGGTAATGCACACGGAGAWGCATAGAGCGTACAATGAGATGGAAACATCAGGCCGTCTGGTTTTAAAAACTTGTCTCGCGCCACGATAACGCTGTCCAACATGCTCTCGTGCAACATGTAAAATCCCATCCATTCAGAAACAATAATGTCCACCTTACAGGGTAGTGTGACGTCCTCCACTTTGCTGTAGACCACCTGTTAATGAAAGCGTGATTAGAAATGATAAGAAATAATACGCGCGCCAAGGTGGAATGAAATTAATCCACCTTGACGCGCGCTCCAGTAGTTATTATTTATTATCGTTGTTGATMTATATACACACTTCGATAGTATCTGAAAAATGGTTCTCGGCGACTAGCTGTCTGGCTATCTCAGCTGTCTTGCTGGCTTCGACCGCAAACACCTTAGAGGCTCCAGCCTGTGCACAGAATATGGATAGTATTCCGGTGCCTGCTCCCACATCCAACACGATTTTACCCTCGAACACCGAGCGACTGGATAGGATAGCATTTTTGTAGGTYTCTGTCCTAGCTGAGTCCTGTATCATTAATTTGTGAACCTGAAAAGTACACAATCTTCAGTGAGAAAGTGAGAACACTCTAAAATCTGCGTGTGTTCTATGAGGATTTGAATTTACCTSTAGATCACCATAACTGGAAAAATAAGTGTCCGTGTCCATATCAGTTATTTCAGTCATGATAGAAAAATGCTATTAGAATCGTTGTTTGAAAATCTGCGCGCGTGATATTTATAACCTGCAAAATTTGGTAAGTAGGTTAAGGTAAATAAGGTAATCTTATCTCAGCAGCAGCTGTGTGGTAGAGGCGTTATCAGCAACCACACTAATCACTAAATGCTATTGCTATTTGCTATCAGAATATGTACAACGGAGTACGTCGTATTTCGACTGCCAGAATTTCAGCATCTAGAATTTTTTTTTTCGCGACCCTTTTGTGTTAAACATTAAAAAATAAAATTCAAATATTAAAATGGCTTTTAATTTTCTGAAACAATCTGCAAATAATGTTATCAGAAACGCGGTTGTTCCCTCGTCAACGTCGTAAGTAGTAYCATCCGATACACCCGATTGAAATGAATATTAGACGTTTTTTGCTTCCTAGTGCCTTTATAATTTTTCACGTTATTATGTTTATTGTACAGGGCTATCAGAGGACTGTTTACTGGTGCTGTCCGATTAGCTAAAGAAGACAAGGGATTAGAAAAAGTTTATACCAAAAAAGAGTCGCTCTTGTTGGACACCAATAATGTCATTGGAAAGACGTCTGACACTAGTGTTCAGAATTATATTGAGGTCGACAGCAAAGTATGTGACATTAAAATTATACTAAAACTGTAGGAATWYAAAGTMAAATATGTATGGATTAGTATCCAAGTCACTGTTATTCAGAGATTGATGTGATAATTAAGTTTATGTATGCATATTAGATCTCAACATAAATGTTATCTTAAGCTGGTATTACTTAGATTTGTCATCATTGATTAGCAAATACTTCCCTTAGATGTTAATCAACTTTTTGTGGATTTTTAAGAATCAGAATAATAACAGCTCTTGAAACTAAATAAATTTATCAATTTACATATGATGAGTACAAAAGCAACTTGAAAGGTGATTGAGGCTTTCCACCTTCTATATTAAAACTAACACCTACAACAATTTGTATTTTAATTGAAGTTTAATCTATACTAGCTATTTAATGTACTTAATTCAGTAAATGTCGTTTGAAGATATTACTTTCTCAAGTTTAAATAATGATTCATTGATGTATTTTCTATAGTAGTAATCAGAATATAATAAATTACTGTAATCATTTCAATTTGTCTATAGTTTGTACCAAATAAGAGCGCACCAAGTCGATGCATCCAMATGACCCCCWGACCCCCCTGGCTGAGTCTATTCACTCTTGTCATTGGTCAACGTTAGTCCAAGCATGGGTTTCAACTGATTTACGTGCGCTACCTGGTGTACTCTTATTTGGTACAGATTATAGAATATAGTCAATACTTAATAGTAGTTATTTTTTTATAAATTCACAATATTGAATTGACAGTTATAATTATAATTAACAACAAAATATACTTAAAAGGCATATAGCAATAGATATATAGCAATATTCTTAAAAATCAGAGCCCCCACGAGTCTGATTATATAAATATGAATAGACCCTGCAAGTAAAAAACTGAAATTGTTTCCATGATGATGAGTTTGATAATGAGTAACCAACTTATAATAATAATATGTATTTATAAT